ATATCTTGCCATATTTGAACACATTTTAACCGATGTAACAATACATACTGTTACAAAGATGTATATATGATACTGATACTGAATGATATTGTTATTATGTACATATTTATATTATGCGTAGCAGCTAGCAGTTCTCTAGTCCAATACTTGTAACTTTAAATTTTTACCCTATGAAGAATCATATCCGAAGAAAATATAAAAACTTTTTCACGAATAATGAGCAGGTTACAGCATATTGCAGCCTTACCGTTTACCCACTAATCCAGTGGCCTTTATAGCCAAGTCACTTGTATTGTTAGGCTAATTGATACATTCACCTTGCCGCAAACTGACAGTCTGACGGGTGATCCATCTAAACATTCCCATGGATAGTAGATACGTTTTCTATTCCTTCTTTGTTATTTAATCATGACATATCTATCTATCTATTTGATAACACCAAGAAGATCAATGGTAGTTAAATGGGCTATTTTTCTAAATACTTGTTATATCACTGAGGGTTTTTTGATATAGGAAAAATCATCCATGGCTTCTCTGGACCTGTTTGGGACAAGAAGGCCCCACCTATAGCTTGGTCTACTGGCTCTTTGAAGCTTTCTGCAGACCTACAAAAGGGCATTTAATAAATTACACGATATAGAGTACTCGTACGTACAAGTATATAATAAAATAAACAAAAGATAACTTTGATTGACTTTTGAGTTTTGATTGCACGGTTGGCGAAGTGGCTGGGCAACTGGCTACTATGCAACGAGTCGCGAGTTTAATTCCCGCACGGAACAACATTGTTGATTAGGCTGGCTTGTGTGTTAAGTATGTTTGCAAACCCACCCACGTCACAGGAGAACACACTAGTGTGGGAAAAAGTTAAAAAAAAAGTAATGAGGCTCATAGCTCAGCAGTGGGTTACCACGATGTTCTTATTTATACTATGTGTACTATATTACTATGTTTGTTTGTTTGAACGCATTAATCTCCAGAACTACTGGTTCGATTTGAATACCTAATTCTTTTCGTGTTTGTTAGTACATTTGTAGAGGTAGGCTTTTGGCTATAAAACATCTCGCAACGATTGGAGCCGAGCAAAGAATGAAACCGCGAAACGCGCGAAAGCAGCTAGTTGTTGGTAAGAATTCACTATTAAATTAAACTTTGCCTGATTTGAAAATCAATGATAAAACTTATTCCTGCACTAACGTTCAATCGACTAACAACCTGTGATTGCAAAACTCGTAAAAAGAAGCTAGACAATCAGATAAACTTTCTCGAAAATAAGGTAATAATTTATTATTCAATATGCGACATTACCATAATGCGACATTACATTAAAATTACAATTTAACAATGTAAACTAAAACATGATTATAAGTACATTAAGAAGTTATTAAAGCGAATAATAAATCTTGGTTACAATGACGATTGTGGCTACATGTGATTGTGTGCATAGATGGGGGTTCCCACGGAATTGTTGCAGATATAACCTCATTGTGAAGGGTCTTAAAATATGGCTCGTAAACATTTTCCGCCTATATGGAGAAAACCACGAGGATATATAAGTCTCAAAATGGCAGATTTGAAAAAAAAACATGTGGCTTTGAACTCCATTGTGGCCTGGAGGTTAAGGCCTAATTCTCATGCATGAGGATTCGAAACCTGGCGAGTACCAATATGACTTTTTCCGAGTTATATGCAATTTCTATAATTATTTAGACATCATTGACATGTGGTGAAGGAAAACGCCTTGAGGAAGAGGTTCAGGTATGTTTCCACGTAATGTCGTCATTGAATAGGGTTCAAAACTTGCCAAGTACCAACGTGACTTTTCCTGAGCTATAGGTATGCACTATCTATGATTATTTAGACACCATTGACATGCTGTGAAGGAAAACGTCGTGAGGAAACCTGGACTTATAATTTCTAATTATAAGTTTAAAATCATAAACGAGCAAGCGTGATGATAAATAGCTCAAACCTTCTCCGTGTGAATTGGGGCATTGCTAAGCAGTGGGCACTTATAGGCTATGTGATGTGACATGTGGCTTAGAGGTAAGCAACTAGTGAAGCTAGTAAGTAAAGTGTGGGAGAGCCAAACTTCGGCACGAATGGGTCGGCTTGACCGGAGTGATACTAGAAGTTTGCGCGCAAATAAACAAAGTAAAAAAAAAAAATTAAAAAAAGATAGACGATCGTCTTTTGTAGAGTAGACCCATAGTTCAGCTATGGATCTTCCACGAATAAATTAAATGGATTTAAGGATTTCTTGATACCTTTAAGGTTGGGGGAAGATTTGGCAACGCTAACCTCACTCACGTGATGAAGCTGGTCGTGTTATCACTCTAGTCGAGCTTAATTTTCAGAAAATTTCTCAGTTCTTTCTCACTAAAAGTAGAGTACCTAGTTGAAACCTCTCACTACGTAAGATTAGTTGAGATTTAAGACAACGCCATCTAGTAATAACAGCGAGAATCAAATGAAATAGAAAGCTGCCGTACACTGCATCTTACATGGATGAAACAATTATGTACTGCTACTGTTGCCTTTGACGATAACTAGAGGTCGCTTGAATTAAATCGATGACGAGACTCTTGTTTACACCCAAAAGGGTAAGCACAGACCCTAAACCGACACGACACCAATATCGACTATGACGATGAGTAAAGGTAGCTCGTTGCCCGACCAGTACCAGATCCGAGTGTAGGGCGCGTTGCGTTCCGCGCGCGCCTCAAAGGTCCATTAGACCACCACAGATAGGGCTGTTGTACAGCTGGGGTTGCAGGGCAAGCGCAATAAGGCACCGCGGCCCCATCCTAGAGCAGGAGACAGAACGGGGTCGTTTTTAGCTTGTAAGAGTCTGACATTCCTTCTTGCCTCATCCAGGGCAGGAAAGACATAAAAAGCAAATGTCATAAAAAGACAAATCTACTACATTTTTTTACAGTAAGTTTTTTTTGTGGGATAGGTCGTCAAACGAGCAGGCGGATTTCCTGATGGAAGGCAATCGGCGCCGCCCAAGGATACCCGCAGCACTAAAGCAGTTACGAGTGCGTTGCCGGTTTTTAAGGATAAGGGTTACGGATATGTAAGGATTGGGAAGGGGAGGATTTGGTCCTCCGGTAACCTCACTCACACGGTTAAACACAATGCTATGGTTGTTTCACGCCAGTTTTCTGTGAGGCCATGGTATCATGCCTGACGAGGTCGAAGTATGCACCTTCTTTTCAAAAGAACAAAGGAGAAGTAGATGGCTGTGAAATGAGCATAGCCACAAAATGGTTGTACTTTTTTAAATGTAGTTTTTTTACACACTTATATTTAACTTATATTGAATGTATATTTGTGAAGTAGAATCATACAACTTAACGTTAGCAGCAGGAATTTTATAAACATGTTGAATTTGTACGACTTTGCTGTAGGTCCTACTCTAATGCCATAAACATGATAAAAGCTTATTCTTAAAAAGTTTTTTATAAGAATCAGCAATTTAACTTTTTTTTTTATATGCAACTGAGGCTTTTACCTTCTTTTGATTCGTCATTTGTTCTATATCCGACTGAGGCTTTTACCTTCTTTTGATTCGTCATTTGTTCTATATCCGTTCGATGGCAGACAGTGGTTTGATGAGACGATTTGAGCATCGAGCTCCGTGTCGTGAAATTAGGGAGAGGCATATGTCCTGCAGTGAACGAAAACTGGCTGACGATGAAGGCCCCTGCAAAAACTACGCTAGCGGAAAATATCAAAATATCTCAGCGCTTTTGATAGCTTTATTTAGCTTAATTAGGTATATTTTTCGTTCTTCAAATATAAGTACTTAAGCTAAGTTAACCTAAAAAGCTATTCATAAACATAGGATGATAAACCTACTACATAAATAGAAAAAAGCATTTCCCAGAAATATGAAAGTGGCTAGTGGCAACTCATTTGACTATTATCGGAATTTCTCCAATAAAAATGCGGAAACTATGCGCGGGCGCAACCAACTAGTAAATTATGAGCAAGTTAATTATTGACTCGGCAGTCTCCTGTCGTGGGTACGGCGGTAATCTGGTAATGGTTATATAATAATATATAATGTTGTATACATTCGCGGGTGAGGTAATTACTGCTTATCTTAAGCACCACAGAAAGTACACATAGGTACATAGTGTTCTACTAAACAGCCCTTGGTAGAAAGTTAAGAACATGAGACGGGTGTGGTGTGGTTATAATAACGGCTAATATTAAATTTATTATTCTTAGACATTGTTTTTTTTTAAATACAAGCTTTATGCAAAAGAGATTTGTGTTGTTTCATGGACTCGAGTCCTACGAACATTTCAAACTTTCATCAGTGGTATAAATCATTTGCAACATGGGTCGACTCGACCGGAGTGATGCCACGGTCTCACAGAAAACCGGCGTGAAATAACCAAAGAGTTGTGTTTCGCCGTGTGTGTCAAAAGGTCGACAACGCACTCGTAATTCCTCCGTTTTTGCGGGTGTCCATGGGCGACGCTGATTGCTTACCATCAGGTAATCCGTTTGCTCGATTGCCGACCGATTAAAAAAACATTTTATTGTTAGGTATAAGAAATTGTAGGCCTTTGGACAAAAAAACAGATTTTCTGTTCTGTGTTAACATCAAAATGAAGCAGTCGTCACGTCACCGTGTGGGAAAGACCTTTTGATGTATAAGAATGATCCATAACTGTTCTACCTCGTGACACTACATTTTCATTGAAAATTGAATGTCAGTATAAATTATACCAATACTTTATTGTCAAAATGTAAAACTCAATCGAAGCGTATTTCATGCTCAAAACCCTAATAAAAGCTCTCTACAATAAAGTAATCTATGATCAGAACGAAAGCATCTGAATACGAGTATACGAATTTACATTATGTCATATCGCTCGATTCAGTAACGGGAAACAAATAAATGCACAAACACAAGCTTTTATAAAAATATAATTTATTATTAAAACAAAATATTACAAATGATCATTTGTAAGTTTTTACATCAGCGCGCGTCGGGGACTGTCGCGCACGAAACTCGTTCCATACGTTACAATTTTTTTACTTTATACTTAAAACACTATTTACTAGAATTACGTTAAGGTACTGATTAGACACAGCATATTATGTACACGGGACCACAACTGTCCGTCCATAGACACTAGATATAGACATACACACTCGCACTCTATGTACTATGCGACCAGTCCGAGAGTTGTACATTGCTTTATGGCCTGACGGGGGGACTGTTGCTGACTGGTCGATAGCGATTTACTAGCTCAGCTAACTTAGTTCTAGGGACTAAAACTGGATGCCGTGCCCTCTGAGGAAGGCGTCGATCTGTCCCGAGGACGCGGACTCGCCGCGGGGTGCCACGTAGTAGAACTGCCCTGGAGCGCCCTCCTGCACCTGTGACGCTATCTGCAGTCTCTGGGCCTGCGCCCGCGCGGCCGCTCGGTCTCTCTGCAGCTGACTCTGCTGCAGCTGCTGCTGCTGAGCGAACAGCTGCTGCGAGTTCTGGAACTGGTTCTCAGCTTGCTGCCTCTGGTACACTTGTTGGGGGTTCTGAATCTGGTGTCTGAACAGAGGTCCGCTAGGAGCAGCTGCAGTAGGCACAGACGGGATCTGAGGAGAGGGCACGAACGGCCTGGGCTGCTGTTGCTGGGTGGCCACGTAAGGCTGCAGTCTCTGGTTCAAGTTCAGTTCTCCCTTAGTTTGAGGTAAAGTCTGGTACAGTTGAGTGTTGTAGGAACCGCTTGAGGGATCATACACCAGCTCGGTGGAGTACAGAGGATTGCCACTTGGAGAAGGTGAGGCAAGAGAAGTGGCTTTTGTAGGATTGGCGCCTGCTGATGTCGTCGATTGCAATTGTTGGTTTTCACGGTGGAACTTGGCGAATTCGGCAGCAAAGTCGATCTGGCCAGGTCTGGAAGGACTGACGGTGGTAATGACAGCGGGAGCGGGAGAAGGCGAGTAGTTGGGTTGAGGGCTGTATTGAATTTGAGGTTTAGCGGTCACTTGGACGAGCTGGGGCCTGAATGTGGTCGCTGGGGGCAGAGTTCTAGGTGTTGTGACTTGGACAGGGCGGGGAGTGATAGCAATTGGTTGAGCTTGGTAGGTGGGCCTCCTCGCAGGCTGAGGGCGTTGAACCACTCTCTGTCTGATATGCTGTAGGGGTTCCTCTTCGGCCTCATCTTCATCAGCGTCTTGGAAATCGTTCTGGAAGAAGGTCGTAGGGGGTCGTGGGGTCGTTGGCCTGGGAGCCGCTATTGGTCGTCTGGGGTAGTTTGGTTCGGGGTCATCTCTTTCCGCAGAGTCGGGAGCTGCGGCCTCTTGTTCTTCCTCATCAGGTTTGTTAGGATCGCAAGGGTTGCCCGACACGTATGTGAACTCTCGTTTGTTACCGTCGGGGTCGACGTATCCGTACTTGCCGCGTACGACGCAGTCAGTTCCTCGGGTTTCTTCCTTGAAGGATCCATCGGCAGCCTCGTAGCCGAATGTGAAACTACCATCATCGTTAACCTGGAAAAAATAAAATATTGCAATGAACATTCCAAAGAGCAACGATTGGCTAGAAAAACTAAAATAGATAATATTGTGTTATATGTTTAAACTGTACCTTGTTGTAGTTTCTGATAGTCTGCACGGGTGGCTGCTTGGGTCCCTCCTGGATCTGCTGCTGCTGCTTCAGCCTAGGTTGATGGCGGGGCAGAGCTCGGGGCTCATATTCGTCGTCCAGCCTGTCCGCGGCGCGGTACAGTCCGTCGTAGGAGTCCGCTGCTACTAGCACCACCTGTAACCAATTGAGTTGAAAATTAATTAATTAATTCACAATTTAGAGCGCGCAAAGTTATTCCAGTTATTTTCCTTCATATGTTCGAATACCTAATTTATTCAGTTATCCCTGTCTCCTTATAAGTACAATACTTTATTTTAATAATAAAACTCGTAATTTGTTTTTAGTAATCATTTGGTTTTGACTGTTTAACACAACTAGGTAGTAACTAAAGTTTTATCACCGAATCGCCAATTTATTACGTCCCATGTTATTCATTCACAGTTCTTTCAATAGAGCGGATTCTTTTGAATCCATCGTCGTTATTAATAACATTAAGTGGCACAGGGAGGTTTAAAAATGTACATGATTTATTATGTACCTGGTCTCCAGCGGCGCGTTCCTGAGCTTGCGGTTCGTAGTCATATTCATCTTGAATGGGCTGCTGCAGCCTCGGTCGGGGACGAGCGCCTGCCACCAGGCCCACACTTAGCAGTACACACAAAACCTGAAATATAGAAATAGGGATATTAGTTTTAACGCCACTCTTAATTTATACATATAGTAGAATAGTCCGTCATTATTGATCAATGTCGATATGTTTTTTTGAAGTAAATTCAATATTAATGAATTCGATTTGAATGTCCGAACGTGGCTACAGTTTTCCTTATGAATTACTATTTTGTAGTGTTCAAATACTGTAAACACTTAGAAACGAAGGATCTAGTTTTAAAAGCATCCTGTTGAACTAACTGTCCTAAAAAACTATCTCTATATCTATTTAATATATGTAGACTTGTAGTTTACAAAAACACAGCTTCTTATTACAAAACAGAGCAACGACATTTGATCTTAAGGCCGAGTGTCGTACAATCCATCACAAAAGTTTCGACACGCGCTAAACTGAAATCCAAATTAATGAGTCTCTATTTCGTTCTAGACTGTACCAGTTATGTGAATAAAAAGTGACTAATCACTCGTGTTGTGAATTAATTATTATTAAGCAAGAATATTGCAGCTGTAGACTTGTTAATTGTTTAATGTAGTTATAATGGGCAGTTAACATCTATAGACCATCACAGTTGAAGCCTATTAGGGCTAAAGCTAAAGTAAAGAACAAGAGGCCGTTAAGACCGAATTTAATTTTCGTATGAGTCCAAAAAGCCCAACAAATCCGAATTGTATAAGATAAATATTGCTCTAGCCGAGCTTTGCCCATAGGAGGCAGCAAATAAAGAAAGAAATATATGAATCAGAAATGAATTCTGAACATCAAAATATAATTAGAATAACTCCATCATGCAACATAATGACCGGAGTTAGGCCCTTCGCAGCGATAATGACCCACAGCTGAGGTCAGCTCATCGGACGTTCAACTCGTGTTATATAACGCACGCGTTGTATATATTGTCATTAACTAGTTTCTCTGGTAGCCGTGAATATGAGTAATATTAAATACATTTTCCCGATTTTCTCTTAAGTCGGTAAAGGACAAAATTGAATGTTTGGACTGCAACCGCAAAGGACCGCTGATTCAGTAACTCAAGCAGGTGAGGATACATGTCCTGTTTAGATCATAATAGATCTCAATTCTTTTGTTCAATCAAAATTCCAGTCTTAGCCCTCTTTAATAGCCCAAAGCAGGAGAAGGAATAGGGGAGTCAGTAAGAGTCTGACGCTCCCTCCCCCCCGGCCCTGGGCGGGAAAAGTCATTTGATGATTTTCCCCTCACAAAAAAGCCCTCTTTAATAAGACCAGCAAGGATCCAAACACAGCAAGGCGCCATCCATGGACATTCACAACATCAAAGGAGTGCCAAGTGTGCATTGTCGGCCATTTGTGGGTGGTTACGGATTTAAGGATTTGCGAATTGGGGTGGAGAAAGAGAGAAAGCTACGAGACCCTACACTGAGCGTTCGATGAGTTCTTGGACGGGTTTATGTAATACAGTTTCAAACGAGTAGATAGATTACCTGATGGTAAGCAATTGGCGGTGCCCTAAAGGCGTCCATTCTTTAACACCAGAGGAGTTGCATATGTGTTGCTAGACTTTTTGGCCGTATAAGGGGTTTTGGGGATTTAGGGATTAGAAAAGGATGGGGTGAGGAAAGGTGCTCTGGGGGAAAAAAGGAGCACTGGTAACCTCACTCATACGGCGAAATAAAACGCTGTAGTGGTTTCACGCCGATATTCATTGAGCCTTTGGAATCACTCCGGTCGAGCCGGCCCATTCGTGCTGAAGCATGGCTCTCCCACTTAAGTACAACCTTAGTAACACAGTAATCCAATACCATATGATACAATGGTCGTAACTGCGTTGCAGTGTAATTACTAAATAATTACAAAATGCGGCCGCATGCCACACGCTGCGTGCTAGGGCAGTCATGACGCAACGACAACTGATACCGATACTTCTGACACTCTGACACTGTTCAAATACTATTTCCTCTGTTTTAATTGTGTTCAGCTATTTTGTCAAATGGCTGTTAGAACATCTGATAATTTAGTGACAAGTCAAAGTCATTCATTCCAACTAAACCATAAAATAGGTAAGTACTTTTAAACCGTCAAAATTGTTTAAGGTTCGGTTGCCGGGTCTCATAAAGAGTTATTTGAGTCTTTTGGCAGATTATCTGATGGTAAGCAATCGGTACCGCCCATAAACACCACAAACACTAAAGGACTTGTCAGTGCCTTACCATTTTTAGGGATTACGGAAGGATTGGAGCTCTGGTAACCTCGCTAATTCGACGATACACAACTCTGTGGTTGATCCACACCGGTTTTCGGTGAGACTGTGGTATCACTTCTGTCAAGCCGGTCGTTGGTGCCGAAGCATGGCCCATTAAGTATCCCAAACTTGAACGTTTCGACTTTCAAAACACACAGTGATATAAAGAAATGTGTAACAGTGTATTATGCTCAAAGCGCAGATGTCCGTCTTATGAAGAAAATCCTGTTATTATTTACGAGGGGCCGTAAATAAGTTAAATAGCCTTTAATTACTCATATAACCTGCTTAGAACATATTAAATTAATCAATCTGCTAAGTATTTCCACATGACTTGAAGTCTCCAATCACCCGTCACCACAGCTCAATTAAGACTAACTTTATTAGGTAAATGATAAATGTTTCTCACGAATTACACAAAAATTACATCGATCCGAAAAAGGGCTTGTTTAATTGGCTTAGGTTAGGATCTGTGCCAATTTGTACCTTCTGATGTACGCATACACTTAAGTAAGTAAGTGGTAGTACACGAAGTATGATGGGCAATTTTATACGAACCTTTACATGGCATCATCAACCTATAAGTACCCACTGCTGAGCAAAGGCCTCTTCTCACACGGCGAAAGTTTGAGCATAAATCAAAACGCTTGCTCAATGCGAATTGGCGTTTTTAAACTTATAATTAGAATAAATAAGTCCAGGTAAATAAACATAGAAAGTACATATACATAACTCGGAAAACGTCATTTATGTACTTGCCAAGTTTTGAAAGTGCACCCTCGTGTATGAGAAGAGGGCGCCTTAGCCTCCGGGCAACCACGGCGACTGTTCGAATACGAACCCTGGCTAATAATTAATAAAATTTGAATATAGAACGTTAAAATATTTCTTTTTACTGCCTACTGGTACGTATTGTTCAATTTAACATCCAGGAGCACACTAAACAGGTTCTAAGCGTTATAATATATCGTGGCCACGGCCCAGAGCAGGAGAAGGAATGGTTTTTGGTCAGTAACAGTTTGACACTCATTCTCCTTCAAGTTTAAAACTAATTACAAGAATTGTGACATAAACAACAAACATTAATAACGGAGTTACACAAGAATTTTTACCCTTTGAATAGAACTGGAAATTGTCTCAGAAATACGTACAATCCAAATCCAAACTAATATTATAAATGCGAAAGTAACACTGTCTGTTTGTCTTTTCGTTACTCTTAAACTACTGAACCGATTCCTTCTGTGAAATTTGGTACAGACATAGTTCGGAACTTGAGAAAGGACATAGGATAGTTTTTAAACCAAAAATCTGTAGGAAGTCACTATTCCACGCGAACAAAGTCGCGGGCAAAAGCTAGTCATGCTATAAAAATTCTTAACCTACTCACTCACTGCGGTGAAAGCTTAATGTAACGTAACAAATAAAAGCGAGCAATTGCAGGAATGACGTCACAGCGTTTTAATGTCTCGCTATTACCGCGAAAGTGTCATTGTGTCCAGCATCCGATGAGAAGAGTTTAATTCTGTCCATTCATTTGAGATGTAATCTTTATAGGCAAATAATGACACGAAAAGAGGAAACTTAATGTGAACATAGTTTCATTTCCCGTTGCGATTATTACTTTAACGTGTAATTCTAGTTGTTAGAATGACTGTTAAGATAACATTTGTGATCTTACAATTATGAAATCAGACTACTTCTCTATTTTGACGTTTCAAAAGTACCTATTTATGGTTTAGTTGGAATAAATGATTTTTACTTGACTTGAAATTTAAAACAGATGTAACAAAAAATTACCGTTGATTTGAGTAGAAACTAGATTTAATATACTTGGCACGTGTTAACATTTTACAGAAAATTAGACAAAATTATGTAACACAAATCAATAAATAATATTCTTGAGCAACGGTATATTAAAATCAATTTATCAGATATAATTATAGTTGCAATTCCGCTACTGACTCTGTCAATGTTAAACACATAATAAATTCAATGTTTACGATATACATATTAATTAATTGATGTCAAATCGGTTAATTATGTGAGAGTTGAAATAAAGTCACAAATTAATATGTCGTAATTATAATATGTTCTAGCTATAGGTGAAGGCAACCGTTTGGGTTTACGCACGATAATTATTATAAATGCAAAGTAAGAGTGAATCAGAAGCGAACATCTTTTGTTTTTTATCAAATAACTAGCGATCCGCCCCGGCTTCGCTTGGGTGCCATGCTGATACTAAATTTCTACACTATTTAATAGATGAGTTTAAAGAGAAACAAGGCACCTTATTTCCCGCTCCAACAGGATTTTTTGGATAAAAACTATCCTATGTCCTTTTTCGAATTCCAAAGTATGTCTGTACCAAATTTCGCACAAATTGGTTTAGTTGTTTAGGCGTGAAGAAAAAACAGACAGAGAGACACAGTTACTTTTGCACTTATAATAATAGTTTGGATTTGGACATCGAAATTAACATAATTCTATTTCTTATCTGGTGACTCATACAACTCCTATTAGGTACTTGCTATGTGACAAAGCGTTATTACACAGCAATGTGTCAGAACCTTTACGTTGTAAGCAAGGATAACCAGTGAAACCAGTTGAACCTACGATTAATGTAGGAATTCATTAATTCTCGCCCTCACTGTCGCAATCCAAGGTTCGATTCTCTGACCGTAGCAGTGTTATGTAGTAAACCATTTGTCTAGCAAACTTTCTTCCATTCATATAACTAGGTTTTGCCCGCGACTTTGTTCGCCTGGTATATAGTGACT